TTCTAATCAAGGTGAAACATGAAAAACATTCACAAAAATGCTGTTCTTATAAGTAGTTAAATTGCTGAGAAGTTTTATCCGACATTTATAAAGAGCTGAAAACTTCTGTTAAACCTTTCGATTTGAATTTCGAATGGATGGTCTTCACGTTCTACACTTTTCTCGGTAAACATGTCTGCCAAGATGCATCTTCGCAATGGGGAAAATTATTTCTGACCTTCAGAGAGTACTGATGACCTTACACATTATTGAACATTTCAAACATTTAACTGTTTTATAAGCAGTGTTTCCATGTATTCATTTGTTGGCAAAGAAGTCGAATTAAGTCACGTTCTAGTACCTCCTCCGAATTCAGGAAGGAGCCTTTGTATTGAGTAATGTTTTATTATTTATCACCCAAGAATAATATTTAGCAAATTAGTCTTTATCTTCTCCAATTGAGAACAATCTTAATGCTCTTCAACCATCTTCTCCAAACAAGGCCAATGATTATTCACAATGACTATCAATGAGCACGAATAATTTTTAAAGCAGTTGGTCAATGCTGCAATAATGGGTGAATGCTTCTATCTCCAGTTTAATTGTAGTCCACAAATGTTACAACCCATTCAATACACTAAATATTTGAGGGAAACTACGAGATTCAATAGTTTCTCTCCATTTGAAACGTTGATATTGGCAAAATGTTGATACATTAGTACAATTTGTCTCGAATCTAGTCGCGTTAGGAGCTAGTGTGGATGATGACTGATCTTGGCACTCGCCTTGAAGGAGAAGAAAGTTGGAAATGTGTTGGCTAGCCAGAATCTTCGAGAAGGTGCAGTGTTAAGTTACCCCGAGTCCACGAAAACGTCTTCTGTTCTAATAAGTTACCAATGAAGCCATTTCCGTTTCCAACACTTTAACCATTAGTACAGATGTCTTAAAGTCATTCTCCGCTGCTATTCACTTGTTGTTATTGGCTGCATTTATGATATTCATCATTCGCCACTTAGTTGACTCTCTTTATCACCTGCAATTCACTCTTCTCTTCTCCATCTACATTTTCTGTGACTTTGATGCTCCTCACCTCTGAGAAGCCCAAAGACAGCTATAGGGCTAATGACAACATCGCGTTTTATTTATTAACTCGTGCACAGAATGAAATGCAAAGCAAAATCTACCATTTTGCTAAGTTATGTCATCCAAAATAACTGATCACAGGAAACTGGTGGGAGGACTGAATGTGAGGTCTAGCAAGTTAGTCACAGAAAACAGGTACTTGAAGAAATTTTGAAATAATTCTTGTTCATAATGATGACTATGGGATCCTTAACGAGTTATGGCAGCTCTAGACTGGGATTAACCCGCATAGCTGCAGAATCCAAACTACATATGCATGGAGTTTGCGTCAAGTTAAATGCTCTCGCAAGAATTTTCGTCACACATGTATTGAAATGAATTCTGCAGTTCACATCCGCTTACAACTTCAAAGAGATGCAGTTCTCCATTTCATATCCTGTCTTCACTTATTAGCATTGGGTCATTGACACACTTTTTCTAATCTTTACTTTAAGTTAGAACCATAGGCTAAATGAATCCCAACTTAAATTGAGAAATTTCTATTTTTAACAGCCTCTATGTTATTACCTCTATCGCATCTGCGAGTCAAATTATTACTACTTTTTAATAGAAGTAGCTATACAGATTCAATACCTCAAGGTATGAGAGATAAACTAAAGAATATTGGCACTTCGGAGAGGTTAAAATACATTTGCAAAATATACCTGTATTTGTTCCGTGAAAAGTATTGTTTGAAGGCGTGGCCCTATATCAAGGAAGAAATCACTTACTATAATCGCCCCGATATGACTATCCAATGTTCGGATCAATTTGTGCAAACATCCGCTAGTTCTGTCTCACGGTTAAATATTCCAGCTTAGGTCAATAAAATGTGCCTGAGTGAATATCTTTCAGTTTTCACTGTCCTCGTCTCTAGCATTCTTGCAATATCTTATCGGCTTTTCTTATCTTTTCAAGAAGGGGTGTGCGATAGACTTACCTCCACGTGGTGCACTTTCGACAATGTATACTCATACGGAAAAGAGGTCTATTAACCGGCAGTTCACTTTTGACTTCAAACTACCATGGTTCCATTGTATGTCATATTCAACCACTTCCACCGTACTCATCTCACCGCTTCTCTGCCTTTGCGTCTGTTTGTCTCTTTTACATCTGTGAATCACTCTTCTCTTCTCCACCCCTCGACCTTTTGTCACTTTGTTGTTCCTCCTTCTCTCCGTGAAGTCAGCTAAATGGCTAACGATAACTATCAAAAAGGCTACCATTTGAAATAAATAATCTTTTCATCAATTACAGATGAGATTCACAAATTACTTATTTAGTCATATTGGCTGATCACTCATTTGAGAAAGCTGAGTGAGATAAATGGTATGTGATCTTAAATGCCATCACAATGAAAACAATTGATTAAATACTGTTCTTACCTATTTTACCCCCAAAAATGGGTTCATATCTCAAAACTCAGTGAAATGCCACCCGAATGCCTTAAAGTGAATGCTTTGTTAGAAAATTGCGGAGGACGTCGACACTGCAATTCAGCACAATTTATCATTTGTCTGCTTATCCCATACAATAGTCAAAAACAAATTGTTCATTCATTTTCATTGGTTAGGGTTTACTTAGTTAATCCAACAAATTCATTACATCAAACACTATACGCTATATGCATTCAATAGTCGACGAATTGAGCTGTTCGGATTTTAGTCGTTATTACTTTCTCTTGCTTTAACGTGAAATGGTGCACTATATCAAAACACATGACCCATACTGAGCAGTTCCATTGAGAGGCACCTGACGTTCACCAAACACCGTATTAAACCATCCACTTCATTAGCTCAATCCTCTGAAATTGAGTCTTCACATTTTCATGAGCCCTCCTCATCAATAAACAACACATGCTTTTTAAAACTAATCACTTCAAGATATATCTAACCAATGGTCGAGACATTGACAACCGGAACACATTTGATTCTCTCACTCGCGCACATAAGCAGACCCGCTTAAAAAATCACTCACAAATTTAATTCGCCTCCCCAAACTGATTGGTTGCGATAATAATGTGCGTGTTAGCTTCTAAAGGTCATTTGAGGCACAACGGTTGTAACAGGTCCCCATAAATACCATTTCTCACAGTTGTCGAGCGTTGCCTACCCGACGTTTGATTTCCCAACCATGACTAATGACAATGTTCATTTACAAATTCCGGTGACGAATCAACCTGATAATACTGATCCACCTCCAGGGTCATGTTGTTGTTCTTGCTGTTTAAAAGTGTTTTATTATATCGTCAAATCAGGTCCACCACAAACTGCGAAAAATTCTTCGTCTGAATCTTGCTCCGATAGCCCATCATTCCATGCGAAGATGAACAAAGTTTTGGAAGACGGTAATGAAATTTTAAAGGGAGAAATTTCGTCGTCTGAATCTAGCACCGATAGCTCCTCATTCCTTGCAACGCTGAACAAAGGTGTGGTAGAACGCAATGTAGTATTAAATGAGAAATGGTTCCCGTCTGAATTACGCCGCGTTGGCTCTTTCTCCACTGCAATGTTGAACAAAGTTAGGGAAGTCGGCAATGAAATTTTAAAGGGAGAAATTTCGTCGTCTGAATCTAGCACCGATAGCTCCTCATTCATTCCAAGGCTGAACAACGGTATGGTAGAACGCAAAGTAGTTTTAAAGGGGAAATGGTTCCCGTCTGAATTACGCCGCGTTGGCTCTTTCTCCACTGCAAAGCTGAACAAAGAAGTGGAAGACGGCAATGTAGTTTTTAAGTCGAAAAAGTTGCAGGCTGAATCTCCAAACGTTGGCTCCTTCTTCCCTGCAGAGCTGAACAAAGATAGGGAAGATGGCAATGCAATTTTAAAGAGAGAAATTTTTTTGCCTAAATTTCAACCCGTCGGATCTTTCTTCAATGCAAAGCTGAATAAAGATCAGGAAGATGGCAATGTAGTTTTTAAGTCGAAAAAGTTGCAGGCTGATACGTTTATCAAAGAAGTGGAAGATGGCAAAGTAGTTTTAAAGGGCTGTGGAGGAACATTTTATTAAAGGACTCCCCAATGACAAATCTTGGTACTAAGAACGCAAGCAGCCTTAGACGACTGAATTTCAATCTGACGTACGTTTCAATGACATAAATTGTTTCATATGTTTCAAAGCACATCTTTTGTAAATGCAATGCCAAATTTTTGTTATGGAGGCTTCTACTTATTCTATTTTTGGGAAGGGTATTTGAGTAAGCAGTCACAATGTACTCGTGTAAAAGGACAATGAATGCTCTTTCAACTTGCTCATGTCTCTTCCATAAGTTAGAGTTTCTTATTGTTACCTCCATTGTACAATTGAAAATTTTGACGGTAAAGGATTTCTTTTGCTTCATAAAATATTTCTATTTTATTGGATTACAGAGGCCTTCAAAACGTGTAATACGATTATCATATTTATCAGGAAACGTGTTATTTAAGCTGAGGACAATCAAATTCGTGTTGGAATCGATAAAATCAAATAGGCACTTCATTCTTAATGAAATCAATCCCACTTGGGTTTATTTGGGCAGTACAATAATTTGAAATAGTCAAGTCCAGTTTCAATTTCCACCTTAAAATTTAATATTTTTTGAAACTAACTGACAATAAAAAGATCACCCACATTCTGTATATAAATCCCATGTCGCCTAATACATTGATATACTCCCACAATTAACTAGAAAAATAAGCTCTTTTAATTAAAAAAATTTGCCGTATTCCTCACCAAGTGTGGCAATAAATTATCCTCGAATAAACCGTCAAATATGCAACCAACCAATAGCAACCCTGGTTCTCATACATGTTTTAACAAAGACTAACTAACTCCTTTCAATGCGAAAAAATCAATGACGATCACATTCGGTGTTCGTTTCACTACATCTCAAATCCAACTTCTCTGGTTGAGTGAATTCATTCTCTCCTCCATCATAATTCCTGCACATTCTTTATTTACGGTTGGATTCCAACATCTCATCTAGTAAA